GGGTGTTGTGTTGATCCGCCCCCCCACATGCCCCTCCCCCACAACAGACTTACCAGCTGCAAGCAGCTCTCCAAGCAGCTCTCCAAGCTGCTGGGCTGCGTTCCACACTGCCTGTGTGCTGAGCTGCATGCACGCATGGGCATTTAATCGGCAGCATTGGGCCGATTTCCAATACAGCCAATTTTCTTTATATCGGTATCGATCCAAAAATCAGACCAATGTATCAGTGAACCTCTAACTCTAGTGATGGCCAAGGGACAGAGTAGAGTATACCATTTACTACATGCTACCCTGGCACATCTTTGCCCTTCCTGTACAGCAGGCCCCAGCATAGCTCTCACCAGCTGCAGTGCTTTCAATTTTCGGGCATCCTCATCTTGTTTGCGCCGAGCTTCAGCTTCTTCCATTTTCTTGGCAGCTACTCTCTTCTTTATCTTCTCTTCTGCCAATCTCTCCTCCCGCACCTGAGCAACACAAATGTCCAGACCTTACAGTATTAAATGGGACATTTTCCCCTCTATGTATCATAGTAGTGTGCAGGAAATAAATCTTATTATGAGGCATGGTGGCCTCTCCACAGAGTCCAGAATCTGCCTGTTCCTTAGATCAGGGCTTTCCAACAGACAGACTGTGGGTTGTATGGGCCCACAAGGGGTTAAATTGTGGCCCTGAGGGCTCCTGTAGACACCTTCCTCTATCACTCCAGCTATAATAGCAGCCAGAGGCTCCAGGGGCAGAGCAGTGCAGGGAGTGGACAGCCAGCCTGAGAGAGACAGTGTAGCAGGGGGTGGGAGGGGCATTGTTGGTACAAAATGTAGCAGGGGTTGCGAGCACCCAGGTGTAGTGTAGCAGTAGATAGTAAGTTTCAGTCATGCAGGGTTGCTGAGACTGAAGCTGGGGCTAGGGCAACGGGCCCAAGCCAGTGTGTGGGGGGCTGAGGCAGAAGGGTCCAATCTAATCGGTGTGGGACTGGGGCTAGAACTGACATGTGCAGGGCTAAGACCAGGGCCAGATCCAGCATGCATGGGCTGGGGCTGGTCCACAGGGTCTGATCCAGCATGCATGGGGCGAGGGCTACAGCTAGGGTGGCAGGGTCAGTGGGTCCAATCACCTGTGGGGCTGGCATCACAGGTGCACAGGACTGGGGACCAATCTGGTGTATGTCAAATTTGGCCCACAGACTGGATAGGGCCTGCAGACCCACCCTACACCACACATCCAGTCTGAAGTGCTAAAAGGGTGGGCACCACTGCCTTTTATCATAAATGGTTTGGCAGCAGTAAAACTCTTCCTCTGGGTGTGTATAATACAGCCTATTGGTACAACTATAGGAGACAGTCCAGCGTCCAGCAGCATTTGGGACAGTTCACCTAAGCAGTTCATCAGCACATATGCAGCATATTTCAGAATAGTCATAGCCATTGCCTCACAGTAGGTTTTTATTTGCATGGCAGGAACAAAGCAGACCAAAAGCCAGATAGTCTGATTTCCATCTGGTTTAAATGTTTTTTTAGCAGCAAAGCAACAAGCTATAGATAAGGAGACAAAGAAGGGGGAAGATAGGCCCTGCAGACAATGCTGCCCTCACTTCAATTTTGACAATGCAAGAACCTCAGGCACAAGGTGAAACAGAAGGTGGGATAAGAAAGATGGCCTATTTCTGTCTGTTCTTTAGCATTAACCAGATTGGGAATCGACCTGTAATGAAGCCTAGGGTGCTAAGTGTACCCCATTCTGCCTCATAATGCCAGCCAACAAGGGATTCTATTTGAGGTTAGCAATATCGCCCAAGGGGTTCAAACCATTAGCTCTGAGGTTCCGATTGGACCTTTGATCTACTGAAAACTTTGTACATTGGCTCTCTGAATTTGGGCAGCATCCTTCTGCCCTTTCCTTCCTCTAAGAAAAGACATGACCCATTAGAATGGAGTTATCTCTATTCCTACTGCATGCTCTGCCCATTCCCCTGAGAAACCAGCATTCCCAAGAGACTCTGTAGTCAGGCATGGCCTTACCTTCTCAGTTTTCTCATCAACTTGAGCAAGTTTCTGCTCAATGCGCCGTTTCTTTTCTTCTTCTATCTGCTCAACACGTTCCCGAGCCTGAAGCACCTTGCGAAGACGTTCCTCCCGCTTCCTGTAGGACACAGTTCAGGTTCTAGTTTTTATTACTGTAGTGCCCAAAGACCATGACTTCATTGCTCTGCCTGCTTACAAAACACACGAGGGGCCTCCTCCCAAAAGCTTACAATTTAAGCATAAGATAAGAGATGCCTAACAGATACAAATGGGAAAGTATAGGATTGAGAAAACAATACTGATCAGCATGCTGGAGAGTGATTTTAGCATACCAACAATTTACTCATCGCCAAGTTTTTGCCAAGAAGGAGCTCCTCTCTTGCACAAAGGGCTGCACAACAGAATGCAAAATGATGCTTCTTTGAACATTTCAAAGGGTGATAGACCGAGTATCACAGGTCAAAGACACAAATTGACTTTTCAGTGCTGAAGAAATGGTTGGTAGAGTGAGGATAAACTTACAAAGGGCCTTAAGTAGCTAACATGTGATGCAACTGAGAAGGGATGGTCACTGTAAGAGTATATAAAGAAAGAGGATGAGTTCAAGGTGATGGGTTCAGAGAACAAATGTGGCAGCAGCGCTTGGAACAGATATAAGCTGGGCCCAACTACAAGCATTTAGGCCAGAGAAAAGGATCTTGCAGTAATCAATATGGCAAGAGTTTTAGCAGATTGAATGGAAAGGCTGTACATTCAGTACATTCTGCAGAAAGAATACGCACAACTTACACATAGCCAGACCCAGTTAGAAGCAGTCTGGAGCCAAGTCAGAGAAGAAGAAGCAACTCACAGTTTCATTTCCTCTAGGCGTCTTCTCTTTTCTTCTTCCAGTTTCTGTTTTCTTTGCTGCTCAGCATCCTGCTTTTTCCTCAAACTTTCTAGGCGCTGCCGCTCCTTCTCCTGAGGTAGACAGGATGCTCAGCTTACACCTGCCTGAAGGGGCTCATTTCTGCCCCAGGTTGTTTGGTAACATACCAGGAAACTGCTACTGCAGCCACAGCCTATACACACAGACTGGGAAAGGAACATCTCTGAACAGAGTGCAAGCAGCTCTGTTCCACAGCCACCTTGGGCAGGTATAAATAGATATAATGGAAAAGGACAGGGGCACCAGCTTTAACTCTGCTGCCACCATTTCTTGGAGTGGGAAAGGAGGTTTGGAAGTTGGTTCAGAAACCTAAGCCCAAGATCCAAGCAGTACATTTCTGCAGTGTGTTCAGGCAGGCAAGGCTGTCAGCAGTTTACTTTTCTGCTAAATACACTACACTAGACCTAATATCACTAGCTAGTGTTAGTGTTAAGATACCAGAGAGCACAGAAGGAATTGGGAGAGGAAACCTTTGCTCACATCAAACTCATAGATCCCCCATTGCTCTTACTTTTCATGCAGTTTCTCAATGCTCTGCAACATGGCCTGCGTATCTCCAGCTGAGGCAGCCTGGAAAGGCTCAATCACAGCTCCACAGGACAAGCAGATACGAATTTTGTATCGATTTATCTCAAGCACAACCTACTTAACCCAGGCTAAATGGCAAATATAACAGCCAGACTGCCTCCAGGGCAGGGCATTAATGATACTTCTGCACAGCAGTGATTGCAGTGGCTGGACTGCAGATAGTTAAACTAGATCCAAATTTACCAGGCTCAGATACTGGTAGCAGACTAAGCCAGGTCAACATAAACGTCACTGAAGACTGCATCCCCACCTGGGAAGCAGGGTAAATACTCTAGATACTAAGTAAGATCCTGTAACATTGGAACAGCTGCCAGAGAAAAGAGAAAGAATATGGGTGATTCTACCAGAGCATTCTCATTGTTTTAGGGAGACTATATCCAGGGTGCCTGTATAAATTCCTGGCTTTACCCTGCTCTTCACTAGAAGGGTTGACCTTGTCTACTCAGAAAAACTGTATTGTGCTAAATGTGAACCACCCGACCAAGGTCTGGTCAACATTTATGGAGGTTCTTCTGGACAAACAGCCTGCACTAGGAAGCATGGACTTACACTTGTTGAACTCTGCATCATCTGTGGCTGTGACTAGAATGAAGTTGCAATGTACCCTGTTCCATGCAGTGATAGCAGCAAAGGAACCAGGAGTCCCTTCCTTGCAATGATAACACCCCCACTAGTTAAGGAAAGGCTTGTGCTGTCAATAGGAACACCAGTGAGGTTAAATTGCAGGTTGGATCCTTCACTAATGGGGAGAAGAGAAGCCTATTTTTGAGAGTACAGCAAGACCCACTAACAGGTGCAAGCCTGCAGACTTCTAGCACTGCATTAGCTGTTCCAGTGGTAAATTACTAGAAACAGGCTGCTGAATCTTGGCCATAGTATCCAAATTCCTGCCTTTTTAAAGCACAGTTCTTCTATTTCCCACCCCCCTGTACTCTACTTGGACTTCAGTGAAGTTATTTTCATGGAATCATAGGGTTGGGAAGGCATCACAAGGGTCATCTAGTCCAATCCCCTGCACAAACGCACATTCAGAATGACAACAAATTCTCAGATTCCTACTGTCCTTTCAAAAGGTTGATTTCTCTTCTCCCACTGATTCAAAAAACATGGAAGTTTGCATTCATGTCAGTGGATGGATGACAGAGGGCTCAGTGCCTGTTAGTAATGTGAGAAGCGAATCTACTATAAGTTCTGGTCCACTAGATTAACGTAGTCATTACTTACAACAAAACTGCCCTGTGTAAACAGAATATAAGGAAACCAATAGTTACTCCTTTTGGAAATGACCATATAATCCTAGAACCAGACCTCTTGGCTCAAACTCCTATCACTCCAGCAAACTGCTGCGGGCAAGTGTAGGGGTCTGGAAGAGTGAGACTCTACATGAGGGCAAGTGTGTTCCTGCACAGAGCACCTTCCAGAATCAAGGTCTTAATCCCACCCTTGTCAACTCCTAATCACAACAATCAGGTTGCACTGATTCTGACCACCAATAGCTCCCAGGCTCTGAATTACTGATCCCACACTGACTCAACCATCAGGCCCTGTGTCTTCTGACAAAAAGGGTATTCAATGACCTTCAGATTTTATGACAAAACTGGAAGAAGTGTTTGAGCTCAACAGAGAACTGCTGCTTCTGTGCATGGAAAAGCTTTAAGATGTACAGGGTATCCTAAAAACACCTGTAAACTTGATCTACATTATTCATACCAGTGTTAAGAAATCCACACAGCCTCTGTCTTCCTGTCAAATCTAGTTCCTCCTGCAATGACTGACACTCAGGATAGAATGCTACCACCCAGGCACAGCCCCACAGAAACCTGGACTCCACTCTTGCTAAATGACCGATTTAAGGATGTTTTAATTACTTAGAGCCATCTTTTTTCCCCCAATTTTCTCCTTACTCTATTACCATTACCCAGGAAGCTTATGCTTCAAAGCTCTGTCATTAGCATTTTTAAACTCAGAAACCCTCGCAGCCCAACAGCTAGACTGGCTCTTCCCAACCCTTCCATCCAACAGACATAGACAGAGGACTTCTCTCCTTACCTTGGGATCAGTTCGGAGTGGAGTGTTGTGTTTAATGAAAGATTTCACAACATTATTTCGCCCCACAGAGCTTGGCGTCATGAGCAGCTGGTTCTTTTGCACAGTGTGCAAAAAGGTCTTGAAAGGACGCACAACCTGTGAATAGAGTGTGGCGAATCAGTCAGTACCTGACAGAACAGGGAAGAGAACACGTGCTGGGGATGAGACATTGCTTTACCTTGCTGGCTGGGCAGGGAGGAGATGGAGTCTTTTTTCTTGGAGGGGAGAGCCCACCTTCTTCTGCCTGCTGCCCATCATACAGCTGATCCACAGCTTTCTTATAACTTGGTTTTCTCCTGCAAAAGTTAATTCAGTCCCCATTATTCAGTCACACTATACTGGCACTCCCTTCTCCTGATCTTAGGAGCGTGCACAATCCATCTCACTCACCCATATGCTACTATCCCATTCCCCAGAGTCTTCAGTGTAGAAGCTAACACAAACTAACAATCTGCCAAATCCTCAAAGAACAAGGTCAACCAAGGAGATAGTGAAAACTACTTCTTGGACAGATCACCCATCTTGAAAGCTTTCCTTCCTCTCTCATGTCCTTGTGTGACAAGGTATTTAGCAGAATTCACAGGACTTGCTGGAATTTGACAGTGCTGCACCATAAGCGCTTCTGCTATAGCCTCGAACTTGCAAAGTCTGTGCTTTCAACTGTGTGCCTTAGCACCCGCACAACCCTAGTCCCCATCTTGAAAGCTGGAGCTTCCTCTCCATGCCACATATTGGCGAAAGGTAGAGTCATTGAGAGACAGAAGAAACAACAGACAGAAACCCAAGCAGCTACAAAGTGAGATACTGACAAAAATGCACAGCCTCAAACTATTCTGTCTCATGGATTTTAAAGACATTTTATTTTGTGGCTTTTCATATTGTGGCTTGTTTAATTATCTGGTTGACAAGTTCTCATAATACAATGCTACAAAGCGCAGAGAAAAAGAGAATTTAATATAGACAGATTGAGGCTTTTAGCTTCCATCAAAACCATAAAATGTTGAACAAAAAAAAACAAAAAAAACAAAAACAAAAAAAAACAAAAAAAACGATCCAGACAGCCAGCCTATTCCCGCTGTTCCCGTGGTACTTCAAGAACATACCTCACACTCTGGGGAGGTTCCAGGGTCTCACCACTCTCATTTGAATTGCACTCTGCAGAGAAATGCCTACAGTTAGTCCAAGGTAAAAAGTTCCCTTTAGCAGAAATCTGAAGGCAGACTATGTTTAGCAGCTCAGCCTACTGAGTAAATAGTAAGTCACAAAAAAGTGTTGCCCAGCAGGTGCCAGGAGCCACACAAAAAAAGAGACTTTCATTCTAAACACAAGAAACAATATCATATAGCATTCAAACAATATGGACACTTCGGTCATATGTTAAGAGACAAAATATCGTAAAACTATGCTGCCAACAGTGCATTAACATAAAATGCTGTAGCCTTTTGCTCACAAACCTGCTAAGATACACTGCCTAAGTCTGTAGGAGGTTTCAGCCCCCACACCTCTGCCCACGAGATACCAGGACCACTCCCCCCCCGCCCAGCTTCTTTAGAGGAAATCACAATTCCCAAAAGCTTCCTGAACGGAGAAAACCGTGCCATAATGCCAGAAAACAAATGATAAAAAGAAAAAACTAAAAATCCCGCACCAAATCAAATGACTGCTGGTCGCAACCTTGCTGGAGATCCGATTGGTCTCTTGAACTCACCAGTAGGATGTGAAAGCAATTAAAATAACCCTCAGTTAGACTTCCCACCAAGTCCATGACAGACTCCTTTTCTCCTCAGATAGCAACAGGTCTCTAAAAATTACCTTTGCTACTCTCTTCCTGTTGCTGCTGCTGAGAGGCAAGGTTGCTGATTGCTATTTTTTTGGCATTCCGAGTACGAAGGGACATCCTGGGGCCCCGAGGATCCTGCAGCAGGAAAGACAAGTAGGTCTCAATGAGTGCCACACAAATAAATAAGGACTTTATGCTCATTTCAGAGTATACTGTATCCTTCTCCTAAAGGCAAAGGGCATGGAATGATAGCACCTATGCTTTGAGGACCCCACGGGATGGATGGGCAACCTATGGCTATGGGCATTTCCACTTTTCTCTTTTCCCTCCTCTCCTCAACACAAATTCAATAAATTTAAATAGCCTGCCATTAAGGAAAGTCTGCAGTATGCTTGCCCAACTTGGGATGGCTATGTGGAATGATAAAATCCATGCTTTTGGATTCCCAGGGCCTAGGGAGGCATGACAAAGGGCCACCATCAAAAGTGAGGACAAGCTGGTTGTTAGAAACAGCTTTTATGAGAGCAAGGGAACTCATGGATGAAAAAGTGCCAACAAAATTTTAAAAGGTGCACTAGAATTCTGGCTGCAGTTACTGGGTGGGGGGGAAGGCAGGAAGAGAGAGAAACAATGAAGTGTGGGATACTTGGATGACTGAGCAGACTCATGTCACAGAAAACCTGGTGACCACAAGTAACACTATATCAGTGCACTATCAATTGGTTCAAAAGAGCATTTGATTTTCCAAGTACGTTTCTGAACCATTCTGGATGGCTTTAAACTGGATTAACAGGCTTGCATGTCTATCCAGTTCAGATTTAAAATGCATTTAAATCAAGTTAAATGTTACAGGTGTCCAAAGCTGTTAGCACACTAGCAGATATTAACAACAAACCCTTGTGTTCCATGGTATGTTGAGCTGGCTTAACACACAGACAATCTGATGATAAAGATGATCAAGGACAGATGACTGCTGGTTGCAACCTGGCTGGTAATAGATCAGATATTGGTCTTTTCTCTTAGCAATGGCAAATGGGTACACAATCACTAAGAGGGCATTCGCTATTTCAGACAACTAATTCCACGCTAGGAGGTCATAAAGAACATGGAAGGGACCTGTTCTTGTTAGCATGACCTTTACTTCCACAAGATTGCCATTGTGCTGCTTCCTAAATTAGTGCAGTTTACTCAGGCCTAGTCTATGCTACAGAGTTCTGTTGGCAAAACTGAACAAGCCTAAGCTCAAACCTGTTCTCAAGCAACAGAATCCTCCCCTTGGATGGCAGTTACAACCCTACAACCCTTCTCCCGAGTGCAAGAAAGCTGCTGGATGACAGCAGAAATCAACAGAAGTGCACAGAACAACTGTGGAACATACAAGTGTATGCACCCTGGCAGCTTGGAGGTGGCAGTTACTGCAGACTAGCCTTGGTCCCTATGGTTTTACACATCTACAGCAGGGCTGTCCAACTGGTGGCCCATGAGGGGTTCGTTTGCAGCCCTGGGGCTACCTTGAGTCATTGCTTCCCTCATTGCTCTGGCTGTAGTAGCAGCTGGGGGCTCCAGACTCCCTCTCTATCCTCTGGCTTCTGCTTCCTGAGCCAAGAGACAGGATGGGATGGAGTGGCATGGCACAGCCTGAGCTGTGGGAGCCTGCAGCCACATGGCACAGTCCAGCAGAGAACCCACAGCCAGGGAGCTGAAGGTAGCTGCATGTACAATGCAGTGAAAAGAGAAGCACCCACCCACCCAGGGGCAGGTGGCTTGTGCTGGTGGAGCTTTCAGCCTTTGCTGCTGCAGCCTGCAGGGTGTGCAGCCCCAGCTGCTGAGAAGCTGGACAGCCTTGATCTACAGAAAAGCAGACAGTGGCTTTGGATGACATTAAATCAACCAACATTATTAATACTATGTGCATCATTTCCTTTGAAGGTCATCCATCATCAGGATGGCTGGTAATCTTGGGATGAAGTAGTGATGGAAACCAAGCAAAATTAAGCAAAGGATTTGGAGAGTGTTAAAAACTTTAGTCCTGAGGTTAGAAAGAGGTGGCAGGTTTGTAGAATCAAAGAAATGTAGGGCTGGAAGGGACCTCCAGAGGTTATCTAGTCCAAGTCCCAGCCTGAGGCAGGATCATCTCTACCCAAACCATCCTATATAAATCTACTGTCTAACCTACTAGCAAGGCTCCACTCAATCCTGACAATTTAATCTGCCACAGGTAAAGCAGGGGGACCAGTGACTAAAGCCCTGCGCTACAAAACCACTTGACATCCAAGGAAGAGGGCCACAGCCCCACTACAGAAAAGAAAAAAAAAAAAGCAAAAACCTCCACAGTCCATACCATTCTGATCATGGGTAAAACTCCTTCCTGCCCCCAAATATAGTGATTGGTTTGACCCTGAGCAGAAGGACAAGACCCTCTAGTCAGGGCTCTCTGGGTTTAAGTTCCAGCAGGAGCACTGGCACATCACAGTCAAAATCCTCAGCCTTAACTGCAGCCAACACCTTATACTTCTGGAGACGGCTTAAAAAAAAAACAAACAAAAAACAACCAACCCCCAAAAAACCCCCAACCCCAGGCATGTAACTGCAGGAAGACAAAAAAATTCTTCCTGGCCCCATCTGGGAACCAGCAACACCCAGAAGGATGGAAAATACCCATAACAAGGGGTCTTCCGAACTCAAGGAGGCTGCCAGCAGATTTTGCGGGCAGTTTGTGGGGCTGGCAGCCATTTTCACACGCAGAGTGTAGTGAACCTCCCCCCCACCCCGCCCCAAATTGGCTGAGGGCATGCATGGGCATTTATTGGCAAAATTATCAGCCACTTCAGGCCGATTTCCAATACAGTCATTTTTTTTTTTATATTGGGACTGATCCGATATCAGACCTGTATTGGTGCACCTCTACTTTTAGGCAAGAAGACTCAACAACAGAAAGGGTAAGAGAAGATAGAGGGGAGGAGGGAGAGAAGTTAGAGCCTTCCCTGAACAACCTAAAGAAGTTAAATGGTCCATTAAAATAGAGTTTTTAAGGTCTGCAGCCTGGAGAAGGCACACGGAGGGGAGCATAACATATATACCTGCTGTGAAGTACAACAGACTATTCTTTCTCCTACCGACCTCCAACTCTTTCTTCAATCATGGATTTGAGGTAAACTGACTCTTGGCTAACACAAAATCCATGGCTATCCAAATGATCTGTGAAAATACTCTTCCAGATAGTAAAGGCACAGAATCTATAGGCACATTAGCCCCAACCCATCCTCCCAGAGCATAGCACTGCCTTGAGATTCTAAAGGTACTGAACAGCACTGCACAGAACCATGTGACGACTGAAGAAAGAATAAGCAATTGTGGAACAAGTGCCTCGACAATCTTGGGCTTTTCATCATAAGACTAACTGAAAGGAATGTGAGCTGTAGCGCGAGGTGTTTCAGCATACGTGATGTTTAGTCTTCTCCAACTGCCTTACATACACAAAACTTTTGTTTCTGTTGAAACCAGGTGAGATATTACCAGGTATTTTGGAGCACCTTGGGCAGATCTCTGATGCAAGATAATTACTGTGACTGGTTTTTAAAGCAGTGACATGCCTTCTTTAAGTGCTGCTTTTTTAGTACGCCGATTGATCTTGGCTATCGTGAGTATTTCCGATACTTAACTCTAACTTTATTCAACCCATATTAGGTACCACTCAACAAGGTGGGTGAGAAAAGGGTTTTCATAATTCACCTCCATTCATAATGTTATCCCTTCCCAGATCTTACCTGCTTTGAGGTGCTAGATTCCTGCACAGACCTGGAAGGAAAGAGTAGACACTTAGCATTTAGTAGACACAAGCATTACTAGTTCCTTCAAAGCTATACGCAGGCAAATGCATTTTATATCACCATATCCATTCAAGAAACCCTCCTGCGAGGAAACAAATTGCTTTTCTTTTGCAGCCTCATCTGCACTGTGCCCAATAAAGTCCTTTCTCCTTAGACCATGGACAGGCAATTATTTTGGGCGGAGGGCCACTTACTGCCATCAAAGGCTGCATGACAGGCAGCTCAGGGTAGATTAATATTAATTTTCTAAATTTTTTAGGGACCCCACAGACCGGACAGAATGGCCTGGTGGGCTACATCTGGCCCCTGGGCCGTGTTTTACCCACCCCTGCCTTAAGACTATTCTGAACCTTCCAAACAGCCATTAAATTTAACTACTTTAGAACTCTCTCCTTTCACAAATTCAAGATAAAAATATTTCAGGTAAGAGAACCATGAAGGAGTTCCTTCCCAATAGACTAAGCCTGAGGTGTCAAAAAATGGAACCATGAATTTTGGAATGGGGTGAACAGGGGTGGGGCCCACCACCACAATCCAGGGCACAATGCCCTGCTGGGGGCATGAGTCAGAAGCAGGGGGTGAGTGACAACCATGTCAACCCCCCTGGCTCCCTAACACCACTTGCCCCACCACCATAGCCCAGATATGCAACAAGCCTGGTGGCCCAAATACAGTCTGGGGACTGAATAAGTTTGACAATCCTAGACTACATGCTATAGGTCACATTCTGTCCACCAAAGTCTTCACATGATTTTGACTCCCAATACTTGGACAAGTCCTGCAGTGCAGAAAACTGATCTGATTAGCCCAGATCCAAGACCCAACTTCTCTTTGAGACTTCTGAAGAAGAGATACTCCAGGAATTTTTCTAGCTCCATTTGTACAGTATGGGAACTTAGATGGTAGAACCTACTTTGAGAGTTCCTTATGAAAGAGCATTATTAAAGAAGAATAGGTCTCTTCCAGGGTTTTTATGTCATACTTTAACACTAAGGTAGGCTTACAAGGCACACTACCCACACTCAGAGGCAACCTTTCATGTGAGCATCTCCTGGGCTTTGCTAGAGGAGCAGGCTCTTAACTACTTCTATAGTTCTTTTGGTTCTCTTGCAAGCAACACAGACTTTAATTGAATGTTGTTCCTCATGGTACAGTGCATATTTCAAGCCTACTTGAAGTGAAGGGAGACCTCTCGTCCCCAACTTCCTATACTGGTTTGAAATTCTGGGCGTGGCCAAAGGCAGCAAAAAAACCTCAAAAGCTGTAATGAAATGCTCAGAAACCTATTGTGCTAAAATCTTGTTTCAGTCCAGATTAAAATCAGTATTAAAAAGGTATTTAACTGTTGAATAGAGATGGGGAGACTAATTCTGTGGTTTCTCCAGCAAGTAAATAATGATGGAACCATTCTCGAAAATGAGTTATGCTTTCACTCCATGCAGGACTGCAGAAATTTCTGCACACCTCCCACCTGTCCAAAAAGGTTCTAGAGCCACACGGAGGCAATATTAAACATCATGAGGAATTCACAAGGCTTCATGCTTGAAACTGAAGAGTAACTGGGAATAAGACCTCCAATACAGACTCACATTTTCTTACCTTTGGATGAGAAAAATCTCTCTACATTAACCTCATTATCCACTTTCCCCATTCAAGTATTTTACTGCTTATAAAACTGTTGCTAGTTTTGGAGCAATGTTGACTTAACAGTGGTTAGTTGGAATCTCTACTAAGTTTCTCCACATGCTCACTGCCAATTTAGACTTTTTGGGTAACTCCAGCTGAATACACTTCTCTCATAGTAACATTTAGCAAGTGAAACAGTAACCCTTAAAGGAACTTTCATAAAGTAGTCTCACCCATTTTTGATTGTTTTTTCTTCACCTACAAGGGTCACTATGGAGCTGTAACCTGAAGGAAGAGAAAAAGCAAAAAACAAAGCTTAAGTGAAAAATCTCATCTGGCAAATGAAGCTCAGAACCCGGGATCTCC